GGGGGGGGCTCAAGATAAAATTCTGCTTAGGGCCCCAATTTGGCCAGGGGCGGCCCTGATTGTAAGGCCCTTACTATCCTGCAAATTAGTGATTTCAGCTTTTAGAGCTCTTTTGGAGTTAAAATATTGAAAGAAACTTTTATTGTCATCCTTAGCCTCCAATGCAATTTTTCTTTCTACATTCCTATTAGAGAGTCTAATGTTGTTTAACTCAACCTGTAAGCTTAGATACTCCTGCTTATTTTTTAAATCATTAGTTAATTTCCATTTGTGGAAATACAGACCACAAAGGGTAGGCCTTTTACACTGCCCACTTTTAATATTTATTGGGGCTTTCTGTCTCTCCCCACCTATATTCTTAACTAACCTCCCTGCCCACCCAGTCCCTAGTCTAAACATTCCTCAACTACTCTACACATATGGCTCCCCAATACACTGGGTGTCCTCTGGCTCAGATGCAACCCATTCAGCTTGAACAGGTCCCACCTGTTCCAGAAGGTCTTCCAGTGCCCCATAAACCTAAACCCCTCTTTCCTACACCACCATTTTAGCCACACATTTAATCCCCTTATCTCAGATAACTTAGCCTGGCTTGCATGTGGCACGGGAAGTATTCCAGAGAATACCACTGTGGATGTTCTGCTTCTGATTACTGGCACCCCTGGAAATTATAGTGAACACAATGTAACTGAAGCATGTTTCCCTTGTGAATTATACATTGAGTGGAGTGAATAGGAACCTTCAAGCTGCAATCCATTACTTCCTGGTTAACAGGGATACGAACATGAGTTCATGATGTTTGGCGTAAAAAGAAAGATGGCTATAATGAAATTAACCTTATCACAAATGCAAAATATGGTGGAGGTTCTGTGATGTTGTGGGGCTCTTTTTCCTCCAAAGGCCCTGGAAACCTTATTAGGGTACATGGCATTATGAACTCCATGAAATACCAGGACATTTTAAATCAAAATTTGCCTGCCTCTGCCAGGAAACAAAAACTGGGTTGTCACTGGATCTTCCAGCAGGACAGTGATCCTAAGCACATGTCCAAATCAACGCAAAAATGGTTATCTGACCGCAGAATCAAGCTTCTGCCATGGCTATCTCAGTCCCCTGACCTGAACCCCATTGAAAACCTGTGGCTTGAGCTGAAGAGGAGAGTGCACAAGAGATGGCTTAGGACTCTGATCTGGAGAGATTCTGTAAAGAGGAATGGACTCAGATGCCCTGCTTGGTATTCTCCAACCTTATAAAATGTTATAGGAGAAGACTCAGTGCCGTTATACTGGCAAAGGGAGGTTGTACAAAGTATTAAAAGCAGTGGTGCCAATAATCGTGGCACATGTGTTTTTGTTGAAAATAATTATTTCTTGATGAAGGATTTGTTTTTCTTCAATAAATTCATATTAATGAAAGGTTGGATTTTTCTCAGTTTTTCAGTGTGACATGAAGCTGCTTCACCAAAAGGTGAATTTTTTTCTAAGCCTTTTTACAAATCTTTACAAGGGGTGCCAATGATTGTGGAAGGCGCTGTGTGTGTGTATGTGTGTGTGTGTGTATATATATATATATATATATATATATAAACAATGTATTATTAATATATATATATATAAGGTTATTTTGTTTAATGTGTATAATTGCACAAAATCTGTTTATTTTGAATTTATTAATTTGCTATCACAACACTTTGAGTGTGTTTCATAGAATATTGACTGAACGCAGATAAACTGGTTACAAATACTATTTAACGACAAGTATTTAGATTACAAATGAAGCTTTGAAGAAAATACTGTAAAATGCTTTATTTTTATAAATATGCTATTGCATAATTAAAATGCTGAATTCTTGTGGTGATAACGGTATAATATAAATCCATATCGTGTCGGACAATCACACTGGTAATGACTATAACACTGGTGTACCGCCCACCCCTAATCAAAACATCATTCTATATTCAAACAGCTTGTGCTGAATAGAGCTGGCATCCCATCAAAAGTGTACCCCAGTCTCACAGGGCACATAAAAAGAAACACAAAGTCATACACTACAGAACATTTAGAGTGAACTCACACTAGGTCCAATTGCCTTGTACCAGCACGACTGTCCCCCTTCCTTACTCCCCTGAGGTCTGCATTTATATTGCATTTGAAGTTCCAGAACCTGACCACGTTTCTGTCATCCCCATGTGACTTACTGTGTTGAAGAAAGCATAGGAAGAAAAGCAATATCACGCAGTATTATGGAGTTCCTGATTAATGTCCTTATTTTGTGGCTTATTTGGAATTTTCTGGGCATGATGACACACAGGCCTCATAGATATTTTGAGTATACAACATAGTGCATCCCGTACCTTCAGTTGCTGAACCTACAGTTTTTTTTAAGTTTGTCACAGCACTGTTAAGTCGACCTTCGGTATCCAGGAGCACGAAGATAGTCCCTTATTTTACCAAATACCAGAGTTTTTGTGTTGCACCCAGTTGTTTTTGGATACTCTTACCAGCTCAATTTTCCAGCAAACACTACACATCTGCAATAGACCAAAGTGATCCCTTTGCCACCATGTTTGCTAAATGAACAGTCCCATCATTGACGTCATGTCTGAGTTCTATGCTTGGGCACAGTTAGCAATCACACTAGATGTGTACCGTGCCCAAGTCCAACTGAAACATGCCCAGACCCAGCTCTTCGAAAAGGCCTGGGCACTGTTCACTGTACAGTGCCTGGGCACAGCACGGAGCAATCACACTAGTCAAATGAAGTGGACTTTAGGAGTCAAACGTGCTTGGGCACGATATGGATCGCCTAGTGTGAGAATCCCCACAGAGAGAGCAATTAGCCTAAATGTAGGTCTTTGGATAGCAGAAGGAAATCAGAGTACCTAGAAGAAACCTGCACAACAC